TCAGGGTGATGAAACACTTGTTTGCAAACCTACCATCTTCCCAGATGCTGCTCACAGGACATAAAATAAGATATGGGTTGGGTTGTTTGCAGGCCAAGGCCTCTTTTCAAGCTCAGTTGAACTCCTCTTGCTAACATACTTCATTCTTGTTTCTGCTCAAATTGAATGGCAATAAGTGCCTGCAGGGGTTTCATCACCTCTGTGTGAAGTCAGCAGGGCTGGTCAAGAAACTCCCATCTTGTTGACATGCAACAAGTCATCACTGGTGGGTACCCACTCACCCATAATGCTGAATTTCTTTGGGGAGCACTTTTTGCCTGGCAGCATAAAAGCTATGAAATCCTTGTGCTGCTTCTCCCTGGGCTCCATCCTGCCTATGCTTGAAGTATGGAGAAATGGGAGGTCTGTTTTTACCAGGTCTGCCCATAAAGTTCAAATGGAACTTCGGGAAGCACCTCCACACATCCATTATCATTCCTGGTCCTCGGACCGGACTGTTTGGGGCAGAAAGCTTCTAACCCCATGAGGAAGACTCTCCTCCCTTCCTGCCCATGGCAGGGCAAGGTGCACTGAGATGTAAAGTGGTCCTAAAAATATCTTCATATACAGAAGTAAAACAAGCCCAACCTGGGGCAGGAACAGTCCCAGATATAACAGACCCAGAAGCAGTCAGGGCAGGGAAGAGGGGCTGGAAAAAGCAAGCAGGATAAAGGGAGAGGAAAGACTAGGAAAAAGGCAGTAAGGAAAGGGGACTAGGGATAAGGATAGGAATAGGGACAGGGCTCCTTGCATCTCTCTCAGAAACTGAGAGTAACATCCACAGCAGACTCGGATGGGGCAGAGGAGGAAGCAATCACCCAGAAAGGCAGCAGCACACCATCCCACAGCCTTCCTCCCGCTCTCCTTTCCCCCACCCTGCTCCTGGCTGCAGCACAAAGCCTCCACTCTCTCCCTCCCATGCGAGGCCCTGGAGACCCCAGCACCCAGGCATGACCTCTCAATCTCCACCCCTTTGCCGTCAATGCCAATCAGGGAGGGTTTCCCAGCACCCCTTCCCAGTGCCCTCTTTCCTACCACAGTTTCCCAGACACCCCTTGGCTGATGGCAGCTGTCTCTCCTGTCCTGTGTCGTGCAGGACCCTTCACCGGTTTCCCCTCGCTGCTGCAGTGCTTTTCTGTAGGCAAGGGCAGGGGGCCGGGGGCCAGCAGCTGCCCCCTGACTGTACCACTGACTGTGCCAGCTGAGGGGTGCTGGCCTTCCCCCCACCCAGCTTGCAAACCTCCCCATCACACATCACCAGCCTCCCACGGAAAACCTCGGGCTCACGGCATGGCCAGTGGCTGCCAGGGCCCTGCTCCTTTGCAAGGGCCTCAATCAAAAGCCAGCCACCCTTCCACTTCGCTTCTGGATATTGAGCTGAGAGGCTTCCTCATATATTTACACAAGCACACAAAAAAACCACAAACATGCCTTGAAAGAAAAAACCTGCAAACCTGCACAAGACCCCACAAATCCAGGAGCTAGAGCTTTTAAAAAATAAAACCCATGCAGGACAAAGCACCCATTTTGCCCACAAAATTGCAAGGTAGAAAGATGCTAGCTAAGGCATATTTGTAAAACAGGCATGCTTGCTCCTAGTGTGAAGAGCTTAGATATTCTCCAGCTCTAAAAACTCTAAGACTAGCCAAGAAATCTGAGACTGGAGGACAGCCAGTCCATACCCAGGCCGAATGATGACAGCCTGTAATCATTTTTATCTCACGGCAGACGACTGGTTGCAAGCACATATGAGGCTCAGCCTTCTCCTTGTGCAGCTCTCCCATTTGATTTCTTAAAGTGCAGGGACAAATACCATAAAAATCACTGAATATGGGAATAATTCACTTTGGGAGCAACTTCTGGAGGTCAGAAGTCTTGGATCTAGATGTAAATAATTGAGATTATGAATCTTAATAGCAAACATCTCAATTTTCAGTACTTCTTGTCTCCTTTAATAGACCTCTGCTTGGCCCGAGCCCTGCTTTTCACCTTGACACCGACCTGCAAAGCTTCTAATTAAGTGCAGAGTGACAAAATCCACACCCACTACCTGGGCACCTTGCACCATGCAGACTGGCTTTGGATACCTGCTTTTGTCCCCCTTAACCCACCAGCAAAACCCTCTTTGCCCTTGAGGTGCAGGATCAGCCAAAGGCTGGCTCCTGCCTTCTGGAAAAAGCCACTCAGACACCCCCAGCTTCCAGCCACCAGTTGGCTACCAGCTGGCTCTATGCCCGTGGTTTCTCTCTTGCTTCCTTCTCCCCTTCTTGCAAACACTCTCCATCTCCAGGAGAAGAAATCTGGGCTAGTGAGGCTCTAACAAGGGTCACAGACCAGAGACAGAGACACGCAGCTCAGAGCATGTACCTGCCCTGCCCCCTAGATGCAGACATGGGAATCCAGCACAGACACAAGCTGAGGAGGGGTTGGTTTCCCCCTCCTTTAACTTTTCTTTCTGTTGCATCTTCCACTCTCCAGGTGCACGAGCAGCATTGGTCAGGTAGAAGATAGTCAGACATCTGGCCTTGGTGAATGAGGGACAACCAGCCTTGCTGAGGCCACAGGGAGGTGAAAAGGAGACGGCTTGCAGACAAGACAGGGCTGTTTGCCTTCCTGTGAACAGGCTCCCAAGCAGGCTGTGTTCATTTTGGGTGAAATTAGCCATGAAATGAAGCCCAGATCCACCAGCCTTGCTTCAAACAGCTGCCAGCAGATACTAAGAGGATCCTGCCAGAGGATGAGAGTGCTCAAAGCCTTGCTGTAAACGCACAAGGCATATTGAGAAGGAAAAGCGATGACGGAGGGAAAAAGCAGCCTTGGCGGTGCATTAAAAACTGGAGCTAGGTGGAGAACATCCCCACATGCTCGCCTCTCCCTCCTGAACAAACAACTCAGATTGCTGAGTTTTACTGCACCAAGGCTCACTCCAGGCTTCCCGGAGCCAGTCCAGCTGGGTGCTCGCTTCCGGGTTCCCTGGCCTTCCCCCTAAAAGCACCACGGGCTTGCCTCACCAGCTCTGCTCACTCAGTTCAGGCACTGAGCAGGGCCAAAGCTGGAGAGAGAAGGGGCAGGCACTGGTACAGGGGGTAATGTTTCTCAAGGAGGTGATGTCCCTGTACATTCTTCAACTGCATCTGTTTTGGGAGTAATATGCACATGCTTTTATGCCCAGCCCCATAAATTATGCAGTGAACCCCAAGGCTTTGACTTCAAAATAGGGGAACCAGAAAATACACACACACACATAAACATATGCACACACAAATGCCTGTTCCAAACACCTCCAAAAGCCTTTCTGGGTCCTGCATGGCTCTAAATCATCACATAGCATCACCAAAAACCAGCCTCGCAATAAATTTTGGACCCCAAACCCAATTCAGAGACGTTCCCTTCTGCACAGCCTGTTCTAGGCTGAGACTGAAGGCTGAGGCTTTAAAACATCCCTTTACAAGTCTTTCTCAGGTGACTGATTTCCTCCTCCATCTCATTAGCGGCTGCCAGCAGATGCTGTTTCCCCAGCAGAAGCCACACTTCACTTGTTAGTCATCTCAAAACCACCCTGCCATTTCTTCCCTCCTCACGGCCACAGTGAAGCCTGGAGAATATTTATCATGGAGCAGACACAGCAGGTTTTTATGGTTAAGATCAGGTCATTAATCTCTATCAAGAGTTTTCATAATCTTCTTCAGCTTCGTGTTTGTTTAACTCTTGGATAGTCGCTCCATGGAGCTCTGGGTAATCGCAGATTAACCGCTCTTTAATATTAATGGCTTTTCATTAATGCACTGGGCTCTCTCCCCTCCACAGTCCATGCAATAGCTATTAGCACTGTGCCTGCAGCTCCCTGTGGTGAAAAGGACCTTTGTCTTTTGGGCCAAAATTCAGATCTTGTGTGTGCTGTGGCTGCTTTGTAGCAGAAGTATTTTAGAGCAAAAGCAATTCCCTCCTCCTCTAGCCCAATCCAAGGAGCTTCCTCCTGCAGATGGCTCAGAGGAGCTGCTCTTGAGCCACCCCTAACTGTAGTGTAATCAAGGGCATGTAGAGGCACAGCTCTGATGCCCTCATCCTCCTAGGAGTGATCTTTACTTATGTAGCCCCCACCCTGCCCCCACAAAGCAGGGCAGGGCAGGAACGTGGCTACAAAAACCTTCCAGATCACACGAAACCTGCCCAGGAGTGACGCGAAGGCTGCAACCCAGACTTATTAGGGTAGTGTGATCACACTATGAAAGCAAGAGCCTCAGCCCCTCCACCCTGGCAGCACCTCCAGGTGCCAGAGGTGCAAACCTTGCTGTGCCACTACTGTAGGACTGTGTGGGGCGAATGGAGCTGACATTGTGCATCCTCATCTGTGTGGTCCATGGGGATGCTCACTGATGAGTCCCATAGCCTGACTGACATCTTAGAGTGCACAAATCATCATGGGCTGGGAATGAGCTAAGAGTGAAGCCACGTGGACAATCAGTGCGTGATTTTGCTGCCTCATTTAGCCTCTAGCCAGGACACAGAGGACGCTTAAAGCAGAGGCACTAAAGAGCTCTCTGCTGGAGACGTAGTCCTCTGTCTCCAACACCTTCCTCACCAACCTCTACTCTTTCTCTCCTCTCAAGCCTCTTAGGTGCTTCAACATCTTGGTCTTGTTTAAAAGCCTTCACAGGACACATAAAACCTTTCCAAGAACACACCTCTTGTCAAATTATTCACAACCAAAGAAATTTCCCACCCATGCCACCATAATGTTAATCCTCTGCTTTATAAATATCAATGGACTCAGTGTTTTTGCATGAGCCTGAAGCTCTGTGTATTTTTTGCCCCCGGCCCATGAGCAGTTGAGGTGAGCTGGCTCCTGTGCCCATGCCATCTCCTCTAGCATCCTCTGCTCCATGTCCAGCATTGCCCTGGGATACCAAGCTGCCCCACCCCAGGCATTACACAGGGCATGAACTGCACCAGCAGCCAGATCATCTCTTAGCCAAAAGGAGTCCCAGTCCCCTCTTTGCTGACACTGAGCTGGGACCAAGATGTTGCCGAGCAGAAGCCCCTCTCTCCTCCACAAGCCCACCATCCTGCTCCATGGGTGGAGAAGGAGACCTCCACTATCTGGAGGCCAGGGGCAGCTTGAGGTGAGACTTCAGTCCCAGGGCTTTGTCAACCACATCGGGGGGCTGCAGGCTGTGCCACTGGGCGAGAGGCCGGCGTGGGTTGGACAGCATGTCGGACCAGTGGCGCAGCTGGTTGCCTGTGGCTCGACAGCCCAGGAAGAGTTTGCCGATGGGCTCATTCTTGGTCACTTTGTCGTGATCCCAGATGGAGATGACCACATCCACATTCTGGGGGGGACACAAAAAAGAGGGTCAGTGGGAGGGGGCTTGCTGCAGTGGGGACCTGCTCAGCCCTGGGCGCTGCAGGGAAACCCACCTGGATCTGATTGAAAGGCACCTCAAAAACAAACACCTCATTGAAGTAAGGGCTTAAGGTGTTTTTCTTCACACTTGTCTTCTTCTTCTTCCATTTCTTCCTGTTCAGGATGAGATGCACCTTGACAAAAGGATCTGAGGAGAGAGAGGACACAGCTGGCACAAGTGATAATTTTTGACTGAGGAGCTCAGCCACAAAACAGGTTCCCTGAGCCATTCCCAAGCAGAGCATGGCATCTACTTGTCACTCCTCATGGTGAGCCAGCCACCCCAGAGCTCACCTCCTCCTGCCACAAGCTTCCTGTACAATCCAGCCATAACATCTCCTGGAAGATATCTCCAGCTCTGCACAAAGCTGGAGTATCTGTGCTGGGAGGGCTGGGAGTCAGACAAAGTCTGGGTAGGGTGGTGGCAGCAGGAAGCAGGTCTTAACACCAAGAGCTTTCAAGGCTTTGCAGCTCTTGGTACCATCATTGAAGCCTGGGCAGGAGTAGGAAGATCTGAGCACAGCAGCCCCAGCTGACCTGAGAGTCCATGGGAGTCCATTCGCTTCAGCTTCCTGGCTTCCAGGATGAGCACCGTCAGCTTGCCAGTGTTGGGAACATAGCGCAGTGAGAAGCAGATCTCACCCAGCTGCTCTTCCTGATGGAGTGATGCCAGCAATTAGTAGCAGGCAGAGGACCCAGCTTGCCTGGGGTTATGACACCAGGCCCCAGGTTTCCCGAGTCTCCCCCACTCTTGTGCTTGCCCCTAAGGGCCTGCTTCTTGGGGTGGTGGCAAGTGAAGCAACAGTGCATCCCTCCTGGCAGAGTTTCCCACCCAACAGGACTGACCTCCACTTTACTGGCCGCCGCCAGTTCACTCCACTGCTCGATAACGTGCTGCAGGTTGACACTGGCCAGGGGCAGCCGGACCTCACCAATGATGTCATGCTTGGCAAAGCGGTTGAAGTCATAAATCTGCATCACCAGTGTGCATTCAGGCACCTCTGCCTGGGGTACCTACAGGGGAGGACCCAAAAGCCAGGATTTACTCCTCAGTGGCAGCCCTTCCCCATGGGATGTGGCAGTAACAATGCAATAACAGATATTTCTCTCTGACTCTTCCCCATCCTGCTTGCACAAGCATCTCCCTGCCTGGAGAGGTTTTTGCCCAGGGAGCAGTGCCTATGCAACAACACTCTTGATGGGACCCAAAAGCCATCATTGGCTGTAGTTTTCTACCTGGAAAGTAAAGCTCTCGTTGAAGACGGGGTTCAGGGTCTTGCGGTAAACCTTGGTCTCGTATCTCTTCTTCATATCAGATGTTAGGTAGACGATCACATATGGATCGGATGTGCCTCCACTGTCCATGGCCTTTAGCTCAACTGCCTGCTTCACACCGACTTTCAGCTTGAAAGGAGTGATGCACAAGGTCACCGGGTGGAGGAGGACAGGGTCAGACAATTGAGGGCTCAGTGGGAAGCGAGTGCAACAGTGAGGACGCCTTCACACCATGTGGGCATGAGAGCTGGCAGGCTGCAGCCAGGTGGAAACCTGGGCCCACCTCAGTGGACAGCAAAAAGGGATCATGCAAGAGCAAAGCTGTTTCCCTGCTGTGCCATGGCCATGAACATCCCCACCTCCTGTGTGCGGAAGTTGTACTCCAGGGAGTACTGCAGCTTTCCTCGACGCATCTGCTCCACTCCTCGCTCCAGGTCCTCCATCTCAGGCTGGACCTGTGGCAGAGAGCAACACTACCCTCAGGATGTGTTCAGCCATGTCCCCGCCATGCCGTGCTCCCACAATCCCTGGGACTGGGAAGTGCAGCAGCAAACCTCTCAGGGAGAAGGGAGGTGGGACTGAGGGGAAAGCAGGACGCACGAGGCTGGCTGTGGTTGAGTTGCTGACAGGGCACAAGCTGATTCTCTCCTTCTTCTTGGGCTTTTTCTTGCCACAGCAGCACCTGATGATGCAGATAAGGAAGAGGAGGAGGAGAATGGCCCCTGCCACAGCCACGGTGATGAGCGCCCATTTGGGTACTGGTGTGATGTTCAAGGAATGGAATTGGACAGAACAGTTAAAACCAAGCAATACATATGGAGTGCATTTAAACCCCTTCCTGATGCTTCAGCATTAAGGAGTTGTACTTTCAAAATTGCCCCTATATTCCTGGACAGTCCCCATTCAGGGAGGCTGCAGCTGGAGACCATTCCCCAAATGAGCAGCAAGGATGCCCTGCACTCCTGGAGCAGCGTGGTACCACTCTGCAGCATCCCCACCCTGAAGGACCCCACTAGGAAAAGGGATTTGGAGGGAGAGAGCCTCAGAGTCCTCAGAGCCTCATAGCCTCAGAGTCCAGGAGCCCCACCAGATAACGCTGCCTGAGAGTAGGGCAAGAGCTGCTGTACTCACATGGGATCCGGCTAAGCCAGCTGTCCAAGAAGCCTGGCCAAGCCGTGGTGGTAATGCTGGCATGTGGGGAGGTCGTAGTCCTGACTATCCTGGCTGCCACTGCCATGGCTGGTGTGACCTGGGGACACAGGCAAAATTAACAGGGTGGGGATTTCCTTTCCAGTAGCACCTGTGCTGCCCGTGGCCCAGGGCTCTAACGAGAGCAAACACAATTAAAATACAGAGCCCAGGGTAAGCGGTTAGGGCTTGGCCACATTGGCAATGAGCTGTGAAATGGAGCAGGAGGGAGCCGTGGGCAGGGAGGGCTCTGCGCCAGCCGGCCCTTCGCATACAGCCTTCTCGTTCATATCCCTGCAAGTCTGCTTTCTGAAAGGAGAGAGATCAGGGGGATGGATTAGGGAGTTTTCTGGTGTTTTTTTGAGAAGAGGAGTCACCTGTCTGTAGGGGACAAAACCAAGACCTCTTTTGTGCTGGCTCCTCCCTGGCCAGGCAGCATGAGCTGAAGGGTTTGCTCAGCTCCAGGAAAGCCCCATCACTAGCTAACACCTCTTTATGGCTATTTTCCTCTCTCTCACAGGGCTGAGGGGCAGGATGGTTGGCTCCTGGGCTTGCAGCAGGGCTGCTGCCCTCGCTGCCAGTGGCAGTGGCACCACCATGCTGGGGTCACAGCGGTTTGGAAACTTGCTGTGATCCTGACCCGTGCACATGGCAACGTTGACACGGCATAAGGAAAGGCTTCAAATTTAAAGCAGGGTGGTTTTACAGCACTGCTCTCCCCATGGCAAAGCTCTTATTCTAGCATTAGTGCTTCCTCATAGCGAAATTCCTTTTGCGTCAGCAGGAGAGATGTGCCAGGAGCCAGGCTGCCTGGTGAGAGCGTCTGCAGCCACCACGGCAAGGGTGGCACCCAGCCTCAGTGCCATGAGCAAGGCTGGCAGGTATGTGCCTGTTTGCCTTGGCAGCCCCAGCCTCCTGCCCTGTGTCCCCGTGGGTCCCTGCTCAAGCAGTCAACACCACCTCACCCTGCCTGCACTCTGCCCACGTTCTGCCCATTCCAAGGTGCTCCTTGCATGGGGTTCTCCTGGGGAGAAATCACATCTGCACTTCCCTCTGCTGAGCCTGCAAAGCCAGCAAGAGCCTTTTATTTTTCCAGCAGTGAGCTTTGCTGCATGTGGGCATAGGGTTGGAGAGATATGGGAATTGCTGTCATCCCTGTGGCATCGTTGCTGGGACAATGAGGTGCAGGTTAAGTGACTTGTCCAGTACCACCTGGGACATCTGTGCCATTGGACACTTGAAGCTCTGCTCAGGTATTTAAGAGGTTTCAGCAGTTTCAGGTGCCTGCAGTTTCAGCCGAGCAGGCACCCACCCAGCTCAGAATTAGTTGTCTCAGTACTTCTTGCCTGCCACCAGACCCCCACATTAGTCTAACATTAGCCCTGTTTAAAAAAAACTCATCCCAGCCCTGCAGAATGATCTGAGCCACCATTTTGGGAATGATAGTTACAGCCTTGCTGCAGTCTGGGAGAGGCAGCATAGCTTCAGTGGGCAGTCTGCAGGGACCGTTGAGCATCCGTGCTCCTGGAAAAGGGGCTGGGAGAATCCTGATTCTTGCTCCCACCCTGTGCTGACTGAGTTCCCAAATCCAGACTTACCAACAAGTATCTTTCTCAGCTTCAGTCTCCCTTCCCTGCTGTGCAGGATCCAGGTCAAGCCACCATGCGTAGCAGGGACATGCTGTGGGGTGAGATGGGACCCCACTGGGCGTGGAGCCGAGGGTGCAGAAGGGATGGTGACTGCACTGCACAGCCAAAACAGGAAAGTCTGCTTTGCCAGCTCAGGAACCGGGTGGCCTCAGCAGCTCCGTCAGCCCCACCTCACCGCTGACCCAAGCAGTGTTCATGCAGGCGAAAAGCCAGTAGGGAACTCCCTGCTGGACCAGGAAGCAAAACCTGCCCTCCTACCTGTGAGAAGTTGATGGGCATCCTTGCCCAGCTCTGTGCACTGGGAAATTCACTTCTCCAAGTTATCCCTGCTGGGCTGGACTGTGTGGCTGCAGGCACTTAGCACAAGGGAATGGACACTTGCAATGGGATGGGTGCAGTACTGTATCCATTCCTGGTGAGCTCTGTACTTGGAGAGCCCAGCTCCCTGGCCCACAGGGCATGCACCACGTGAGGGCCTTGGAAATGTGTGCGGCAGTGGGGATGAACAGGAATGCTCTGCTCCAACACATCAGGGAGGACAGACAGGGTAAGGGAATACTGCTTGAGTGGCTTCATCCCCCAAGTGCCAACGAGTGCAGCACTAGGCACATAGCCAGGAGCAATTTCACGGGCATCCCTGTTGCATTAAATTTATGCTTGTAAAGTTCTTCCCTTGCTGCCAGTTCAGCAAAGTCTGCCCAAAACCTGCCTTATCACCACGTAAATTTGGTGTGGTGTCAGAAGCGGGAAGCAATACTGCCAGTGCCTGATGGCTGACGTAGTCGTGGGAGGAGATGTCCCGGAAACCAGACCTGTCCCAGCTCTGCCCCACAACCCTGGCTCACCGGTCCTGCCAGATTTTCACATGACCACCAAGGCATTGCCATAGCAGGTGCCTAGCCATGGGACAGGGGCTGGGGTTGCCCCTCAGCCATCCAAACCACAACCCTACTCACAAGTGCCCTGCACTCCTGCTGCTCAGAGAAGCATCACCTCCAGGAGCAGGAGATGCTGCAGGAATGATGCTGCAGCAAACGTCGGGGGGGACTTTTTGCTCTAAACTGGCAGGCCCAGAGGATGCACAGGGGAAATGCATTATGGGGATGGGGGAAAAGGGAATATGTCCAATAAAATCAGTCAGGGAAAGAGGGTCTGCATAAGCATGCTAAAAGCTGAGTATATCAGCAGTCTTTTCAACAGGCTGTTTGCTAAAGACAATTAAAAGATAAGAGATTTAGACCTTAGGAAGAAATTCTTTACTCAGAGGGTAGTGAGACACTGGAACAGGTTTTCCAGAGACCCATCCCCAGAAGAGTTCAAGGCCAGGTTGAATGAAGCCCTAAGCAACCTGATCTAGTATGTGGCATCAGTGCCCATGATGTAGGGGTTGGAACTTTAAGACTCCTTGCAACCCAAACCATTCTCTGATTCTATGATCTCAGTGAAGCCAAGTGCACAGGACCCCAGAGGCCTCCCACATTTTCAGAGGAGATTTGGTGATACTGGTGATAACCTGGTGCCATACAGGGAGACAGCTGCCTTAGTGCAGGTGGGTTTGGTCTCCTTTGGCAGGAGCCAGGCTGGGCAGGCTGCTGCACTGGGCCTTTTTCCAGCACTGGGGCAGGGACATGGCCTAGCTGGGCAAGGGAAAAGCTGCAGGATGGCAGCAGGTCATGTCAGCTCCTTTCCCCTTCTCCTTTCCACCCTGTCCCCCTACCTCCTTCTCCCCCCTCCCCATGGCCAATCACACTCTTGCAGAGAAAGGGGGTGTTGAAATAATCCAGCACCATGAGCCTCACAGGGCTGGGTACCACACAGCTACCCAGAAAAGCAAGATCCTAGCCCAAAAATCACCCCTGCTCAGGGCACTATCTGAGAGACAGCTTTCAGAAAAGAAGGGAAAAGGGATCCAAAAACATTACAGGAAAATTGTAAATATGGTAAGCTCCCTCTGCACCCTGCCACACTCTGCACAACCCTCTGCTCCCTGCATCCCTGCAACCGCTGCGAGCCACTCTGGTGCAGGTACCCCTATATTTTTGGTCAAAACTACAACCACTGTGTATTCAGAGACTGGGAAAGGAGAGGTCTAGAGGCATGCTATTAATACTCCGGCTACAGAAATAGATACCGCGGCAGCGCTTGTGGGCAGTGCGCGGCCACTGAGCACAAGCTCCGAGGGAGCTCCAGAAGCTGGAATAGGGCTGAGCCGCCTCCCCGGCTTGCCCGCGGCTGTGTCCCTGACCAGGCCCGGGTGACCACGATCCGCCCGTGCAACGCCAGCTGGGAAATGCAGTCTGGCCCGGGCACGACGCCAACCACCTGGCTGCCTACAAATCCCAGCACGCCGGGAAGCGGAGCTGCACCCCATCCTGGCTCCTGCCTGCTTCCTGCCAGCGCGGGGAGGGGGAAATATAAACAGCGGCGTCTTGGGCAGAGCTGGGATGCTGCCGCTGGACAGGCTGTGCTGCGGAGCAGAGGCAGCGCTCGGGGTGAGTTTGGGCTTTTCTCTCTGACAAAATCCTGTCTGTGTCTAGGGGGGGTAACATCTGCCCCCCGCTTCGCAGCTGCGGGGACCAGCAGCACCCGCCGGTGTGCGAACTGCACTTGTGGGCATTAGGGGCAGGGAGTGGAAAGGAGAAGTCAGGCTTGGTTTGCAGCGCTTGAAAGAACAGACATTAGGAGGTGGGTTCTCCCACCAGGAAGGGCTGCTCAGCTCCTTTGCCTCCTTGCATTAAATTTTGACTTTCAGAAAAGTACTTGGCTGAGATTCTGTCAGAGGAAAGCTTCTCCCTGCTCGTCTAGGGTGGTGGTTGCCACCCTCTGCCCTGGTCCCTGGGAGGAGACCCCTTCCCAGAATGGGGTATGGGATGGAGGAAGCAGAGAGATGCTCAATATCTCCTGGCTTTCCACGCACCCCTGGCTGGGGGAGCAGCCCTGCCGCAGGACTCTCCACCCCAGAGGCAGTCAGGGGGTGCACATGCAAGCCCGGAGCTCCCCATGGCAAGGCTCTGGCTCTCAGACAAGTGTATTGCCTACCAGCCCAGGCAACGCTTTGCAGTCCCTGAATAACAAAAATCAATTAAAGGACATTGGAACAAAAGAAAGGTCTCCCTGAAGACCCTGACTTGCACTTCACACTGCATGCTGGCTTTGGTCTATGCTTGCACAACCCCCAGCCCAGTAAGCAGGTAGGGCATGAACTGGTAAATGAAGTTTTAACCCCCTTGCCATTCCCAGCAATCCATGTAGAGCTGTCATTCTTCCTCTGCTCTCCAGAGAAACCCTGCAGTGTTTCCATCCGGAGCTACTGGATGGAAATAACCCCCATGGGATCCCCCTTGGTGGGAATGGGAACAGCTCCCATCCCACAGGCTGAATCCTAAAGGTCCACTTTTAG